AGAGCCCACCCAGACGCTGTGTCTTTAGCTGGATCACTGTTTACAGGCTCCTTCTGCAGAGCCCAGCGGAGCAGTTGTCTGTCGTTGCTTGAGGTAGCAGATTGGAGAAACTCGCCATCGAGAGAGAAGTCCAAAGCCTCAATTGGTGCTGTGTGGCCAACAAATGTGTGTCGAAGCGAATATACAGGCGACACATCCGCTCCTGTGTTCTCGACCGAGTAGACGTAGATATTGTAGTCTCTACAAGCTAGCGCCAGCCAGCTACGGGTTGAATTCGACCCGGTTTGGCTTAGTATAGGAGAGTATTTCACCACTGTACACCATTTTGGGATAGTTGGTCTGTTCTGTGCATTTGACACAGTCTCGGCGTCTCCACAAGAGAACTGAAGTAATGGTTCCAATGTCGTTCCATTTAGAATGGCAACTGTACCATCAGCGAGAGACACTGCGAGGTGTTCACCGGTTGAACTCCACGCTAGTGAACGCGGTGAACTAGGCATAAGCTGCTGTTGTGACAGCAAATTCGTGTGAAGATTCCAAACGTGCACGTATCCATCGGAACTAGCAGATGCCCACCGGAGATCTCGAGGGTGTAGAGCGATATCGTTGATCTCGCTACTGAAATTTATCAGAACTTTCGTTTTCTCACTAACTTCATTTGATGCAGCGATGGCTTGGTTCATCACCGTTGATTCTTCAATAATTGGCTCCAGATCGACCGATAGCACTTCACCTGTACTCAGGACGACGGCGGCCAGAGCTGCATCATCCAGTAGACGCATTCCTTGCACGTACGTGTCGTCACTCGAGGATTTTCTTGCAGTACTCGAGCTATATAATGGGGATAGTGTGCTAGTTGTTCTAGGCTTGGTAGCGTCGTACACGGTAATAACTCTCATGAGCTGCAAGAACGCGCTGGCTTGAATTCGACCTCCAGATACTCTGGTTCGTGTAGGGCTACGTGCAGTTGTATATTTCCAAACCACAAGTGATCCGTTGCGTAGGGCGCCGAGCACAACTTGTGAAGCTTGTAGATGCTCTAATGCTACCACTCCGTCCCCACTCGAACTATGCCTTGAGCTACTTGACGGCTGAATGGTGTGAGCTGCAACACTGCTCTCCCATAATACGACAGAACCATCTGCACCTCCCGTCACTACAAACGGAGCTACGTGGACAACACACATCATGGTTTGTACTAGAGCATGACGTCCGAATACTCCTTGTTGAGCGATCACATGTCCAGTAGCAGGATTCAAGTCCCAAAACGTGAGGTGATCCACACCGCCACTAACAAACGTCACTCCTGTGTCCGAAGCTCCCACAAACTTACCAAAAAGAACAGGCAACCGCGTCATTGTCGTGTGAGATAACAACAGCTGACGCTTCCATGCGTAAAACACTACTGTGTGTACGTGACTTCGAGTACATTTCCAGATCACAGCAGCTAAATCGCTTTGGACATTCCGCGTATTGCTGTCGTTAGAGTCGCAGAAATCCACGGCGATTAGCGTTTTCTTGTCGCTGGTGGGAATCACGCTGGCCTTGAGTGTTGCGACTTGCTGGAACGAATCTCCAGTAGTTGATCCAGTCGCAGATGTCTTCTCTGTTCGTAGCAGCACAACACGGTCATCTCTACGACTCCCGACAGCTAGAATCGGCTCTGAAGGATGCTTGACGATACACGACACAGAGTGCTGAAGTCCTGACGGTACAATACGCTGTCGAGTGCCAAGTGAATGAAGGTGACGTACAGTTAGCAGTGGACCAGCACCATACATGTACGACCCGTTCCCAAGACACGCAAGCGACTGGTTCACACTCATGCTTCGGTGGTTGAAGCCATGCACGTAGGATAATGTCAACGCTAGATCAGGAGCTTCAAAGCGTTGTGTCTGCCTTTCAGCTCCACGTGCAACCACCGCATGCGAAACATCTCCACCGGACTTTCGCGGTAGAACTCTCCCTTCGTAGCTCTCATCTAGCGTACCATTGTCGAAGTAGACATCTTTCAATCCCAGCACTTGCAGTCTGTTACGAAGCGCTTGATCGTACTGGCATGCAGGTCGAGGTTGGACGTCCGCAAGCTCCTTTTCCACTCGCCACTGACAGATTGCTGGGTCATATTGACTGCTTGTGATGACTAGGCTTCCTCGAAGCGCAAAGTCACCGGATACTGGCGGATGACCCGAAGGTGAACCAAACAAGGACACTTGTTTTGTTAGATGAGCTTGTGGCATTCTTCTTGATAACCAGCAATTGTCAGAGTCTTTCACTGTTGAAGGGGGACACGGGAACGGGGCCAGGTCGACATCTCCATCTCCGTTTAAAACGAGTGTGAGCCCTCGTGTACTATTCGCCACCACACGGTCGTTGTCTTGGGAGTTCAACAGTAACCCACCGACCTCCCATCCGATAGAAGTGTTATGTGTGTGCCATTGGACGTTGCGAAGAGTAGTCACCGACGCCACGCGCGTACCTGCATGCTGGCGAAGGTCCCAGAAGTATAGCATCGAACCGTGCTGAGTCCGAAGGAAGGCTCCATCGACACTAAAGTCTAGCGCATGGGCGTATGTTGCCTCTGACGAGTTACCACCAGTGACCTCTGCTTGAGGCTTCAGAAGCATGCAACGAGAGAGGCGTCGACCAGGTTCGAGTTTGTAGAGATAAAT